TAATTTCTTGGAGCATGATTTTATTTTGAATGTTATACGTCATAAAAGGCTTTTTGAAAAGCCGGTAATGTGGGTCTGTAGTCTCTAGTTTCAGCTTTCGAATGGTTACTAACACTCGTATGAAAAGTTCCTCTTCAGCGAATGAGATCGGTTTTTCGTTTGTTCCCTCCTAATCAGAAAGAGTCCAGAATTTTTCTCAACTCAGGCTCAAGCATAATCACCTGAGAGCAGTTAAACTGTACTCGCTCTGTATCATCAGTGGTAAATTTGAAATAGAACAAGGAATGCAAATTGCTGGTCTTAGATCATATTTGCCAATGATTTGAATTGGAGTACTTAACTGACTCGGCATGAACTAGCCCATTTCTCAATTCAGTGCAGTGTGGCAGAATCTGCTTTCGAACCGCCGGCAAACCACCGACAAAGTTCATTTAGTGGTTGATTTGATTCTATAGCCATTTCCCCCCGCAAGAGCGAACTTGTATTGAATGCGTGTTTAGTGAGAACTGACTAGTTTTCACCGAATGATAAAACTTTTCGTCAATATTCATATTTATTTTGGGCGAAAGTGTTTTTGTACACACCGACATCTAATGTACCGTCTATTGTAGTATGCTACTGTCTATTGTAGTATGCAACTGAAGCGTCTATACTTACTGTGTACCCTTTTCAGTCTACATTTTCCGTAGAGACGCGAAAATGTGAGCTAAGCCCTTGATATTTTCATGAGTTGACTCTGACAGCGAGGTCAATTGAAAGTCTATCTTCCAATATATCCCCAGAAATGTTCCATTTTTCAGTTCTTAAAAAAGAACTTATCGTCCAAAAAAGGGTGACTGACTGAGCGTTTGAAGTATGAAAATCGAGAAGAACTTAAGCTGACAGGAGGTTGGTAAAACTAGTCGTAGCAACTCGGCTGACGTTTCGGCGACCCGTCTTCTTCAGAGCCTGGGCATATGTAGTATTGGTCTAAAGACTAATAAAGAGTCTAAGAACTATTATTACATACGCCCAGGCTCTGAAGAAGGCGGATCGCCGAAACGTCAGCCGAATTGTACGACTAGTTACCAACCTCGCGTCAGCTAATCAAGTTAAGTTTTCTCGATTTCTTTATAACAACTAATTATGCCCAGCTCAATAGAAAGTCGAACTCTTGAATTTTAACAATAATACAATTGAAACAAAAAAAATATTTATTCAATGCGTTCCCACGTTGGGGGCTAGAGACTCATAGGGGTTGGAGCAGGCCGTTCAGCGTTGCCGCGCTGAGGGTCAGAGATGCAAAGGTGGTGGGTCCACGGTCTCAGATCTTAAGATAAGTTTTTCTCGACTTTCATATATCAATTAATTTTGCCGAGGTTTATAGAAAGTCGAACTTTTGAGTGTTTGAAGATTTGTTCAATTATCTATTGACAACATTGATTGCTTTCGGGAAAGTTAGACCGTTGTCTGAACCTCACACGGGCTTCGTTAGCAATATATGGTAAAGTTTTCTTCAGATACTTTCGCAAGTATGTGATTTGCACGTTGAAAATTAGTGATTTTACAAAGCATTGATGTTGCTTCCACTAAAAATAGCTTTATTAAGGTCTCTTCAGTGATATCGTATCTTTTGGTGACGATAAAACCCCCTTTATTGACGAGAGAAATCGAAATTTTATTACAAAATCACCACATTCTCACCGAAGCGCGTCACTAGCCGCTCATCGTCGCCGCCCAAAGCGCGCGCTCGCCGCAAATGGCCGACACCACTGAAGGGGTCAACACCCTGAGTTCAAACACTCCAACACATTATCGCCTATCGCCTACTGTGAGCTAGCTGAACATTGTATAGTGCAAAAGCCACCTCCTAACCCTAATCTATTCAGTCTGAATGGGAAATCTCCGTCACATCCACTTCATCCCTCCCTGGGCACTCCTTGAGCTAAGTACGGTATTCGACTCGGGAGGGGGGACCCTTCCGGGTCCATAGACCCAACCCTCTGCATCTCTAACTTCCAGTGCGCTGCGCCTGACAATGGAGTCTAACCCCAGCGTGCCATTGTTAAACGCAGCACGCTAGGGGCTAGGGACGCAGAGAGTCGGTCCATGGTCCCGAAACGGGTTGAGACGAGAGCTGTTGTTCCTCTTGCTATCTTCATCGAATGCCTTCATGAACTCATTAAATGACTACAAAACAACAAAGTCTTCAAGACGTTCGTCGCAGTCGTTGTCATCATCATTGGAGCGCACGGCACTAGTAGCCGCTCTTCGTACCGTCCGACCCGCGAGCCAGGTGTAAACGACAGCCATACCCGAAGGGTCGAAAGGGGTTTTCCGTTGAATCCCAGTGTAACCACCGCCCACCGTGAACTAGCCGAAATTTTTATTGCTTGTGCCGCAACTACACGATGCCCATTGTATGCTACGACTCTGCCTTCTGGGAGTATTTCGTCCACTCAGGCTTCCCGACTTGGCCTCTAGCCAGGACTTTGACGACCGGAATTGCCTTTCCTTTTTACCACGTGGGAAATTTTCGCCCAATGAGAGTGCCCCCACTGACTTCAGCCCTCCCTGGGTACTCCTGGGGGCTGAGAACCCCTTGGGAATGGGAGACTTGGAGTGAAGACTGTCGTCTCGCCTCTAGCTGTCCTCGTCGACTGCCTTCATGATCTACTGAACAGCTAGACCCTCTAGACACTCATCTTCTTCGTGGTCATCGTTGTCGTCGTCGTCGTCGCGTCCCGGTCTCGCTCGCCTCTCCGTCGTTCCCATCAATCCGTATCGATCGTGTCGCGCTTGGGTGGTCGAGGGTTCCTTCCCCATGCCGATCTTCCCCGATTTTCTTCTTTCGATACATCGACTATTTTTCTCATTGGTTTTGAATTTGCGAAACCCAGTTGGTTATCGAACTTCTTTTCCTGGCCATAAAGTGTCTGTTGTAAGCGCTGCTTTAGTGTAAAGCGAACTCGTGACGAGTCTCAAATCGAATCCAGTTTTGTGAAGTTTACCATTGCTGGACGAGACGCGGTTCCTCATGTGTGGTCGATATAAATCCTTCGTTCTTTCTGATTCGATGTTGACATGTGAAAAATCGGCCTCATTCGCTGGAGAAGAAGCTTTTACAGTAGTGTTAGTAAGCAGTGGAAAGCTTAGAATTCTGGCTGAAGCCCCATGTCGCCGGTTCTTCAATACACCCTTTTATAACGGTGTAAAATCCACACAAAACTCAGTCTCTCGGAAGCGCATATTTTCGCCAAACTGAGCTCTTTCTTTGGACTATTGGTAATCATACGTTAGAGTAATCGATTCTGATTCCAACGATATGCTTATGTCACGAAAAGACCTTTTTCTTCGAAGCTCAGCGGATAAAATAAGCCGATTACCCATCTGTGGTCAAGGCTGTCTTTGGCGAAGTCACGTGCGACTGGCTGAGGCAGCCACGTGCTCTGGCGTCATGTCGTAGGGCCTGTGCTAGGTTATCGATCGTTTTTTATTTTCTCTTCTGTGTTTTTAGAGAATTGGTCTTTTCAAGATATAAGCACAGCGTTGGAATCAGAAGCGGCTGCGCTATCGAATGATTACTAGAGAATGAGATGTAGTTTCTCATGTCTTGTCGATATAAATTCTTCAATCTTTCTATTTCGATGGTGGCATATGGAAAACCGACCTCATTCGCTGTAGAATAACCTTTCATAGAATTGTTAATAAGCAGTGGAAAGCTTAGATTTCTGGCTAGAGCCCCACGTCGCCGGGTTTTCAGTACACCCTTTTATAGCGCTATAAAACCACACAAAACTCATGTCTTAGATACGCATATTTCTCGCCAGGTTGAGCTCTTTCTTTGGACTATTGGTAATCATACGTTAGAGTAATCGATTCTGATTCCAACGATGTGCTTATGTCCGAAAAGACCTTTTTTTCGAAGCTCAGTGGATAAAATAAGCTGATTCCCCATCTGTGATCAAGGCGGTCTTTGGCGAAGTCACGTGCCCTGAGCCCTGACGCGATGTCGTCGTAAGACCGGTGCTAGGTTTATCGACCGTTTTTATTTTACCTGCTGCGTTTCAGAGAGACGATCTTTTCAGGTGATATATGAAAATCGAGAAAACTTATCTTGATTAGCTGACGCGAGGTTGGTAAATTAGTCGCAAAAGTTCGGCTGACGTTTCGGCGACCCGCCTTCTTCAGAGCCTGGGCGTATGTAGTGTTAGTCTCGTAGATTTAGATTACAGATTAATACTACATACGCCCAGGCTCTGAAGAAGGCGGGTCGCCGAAACGTCAGCCGAACTTCTGCGACTAATTTACCAACCTCGCGTCAGCTAATCAAGATAAGTTTTCTCGATTTTCATATATCAATTGATTATGCCGAGGCTTATAGAAAGTCGAACTTTTGAATTATTGCGATCTTTTCAATATAGGCACAGCGTTGGAATCAGAAGCGACTGCGCTGTCGAATGATTACTAGAGAATAAGCTCTGTCCGGCGGGAAGTATGCGCGTCTGAGATAGTTTTGTTTGAATTTTACAGCGTAATAAAAAGATAAAAGGATAAAGCTCTCGGCGTTGATCAATCCCTGAGCGATGCGCCATGCATTCGACTTCAATTTTTAACTTCGTTTGAAGTGATTGAATGCAAATCTGGCCTTTACAATGACTCGCGATGGCCTCCAGCTAAACCGAATCAGTGCTGCTCATCCTCGCAGACAAGTCTAAGACCTGCCTGGTACCAATTTAGCAACCCCGGAGGGATGGATGACTTGGTGAGCCATGAGCGCGAGGTCGAACCATTGACCTCATGTGCGACGAAGAGCACCTCTAACCACTGCGCCACATGCGCTCAATAAAAAGATGTTCTGAAAAATAGGCGGCGTAGGGCTGTAGCCTAAAGTCTCTGCTTTCGAGTGGTTTATAACACTCTTGTGAAAATTGGTTTTTCATTTGCCTTTTTACAATTAGAAAAAGCCGAATTCTTTATCTTTAGTGCTTCCAGCTAGAGTATGTCGTTCTGAAGCGGTGGCCTTGGTGGTGTAGTGGTAGTACGCGTCCCTGCTAAGGACTGATCGAAGGTTCAACTCTCGCCTATGATCGAATTTTTGCGTCTCACCCAATAATCTTAGGCTTTTTTCATTCCTACGTCGATATTTGTCTATGTAGCCGTCTTCGTCTTCACCTTAAGATTTGAAAATCGACTTTCCCTTGACTCTTCCAGGACCGTGGACCCACGTCCTTTGCATCTCTAACTCATAGCGTGGCGACGCTGTACTGTCTACTCCACGTCCTCTCGATCTCTGACCTCGGCGTGGGAACGCTTAGAATCTTTTGTTGTATTATCTCAGTTGTATTATTGTTGATTATGTTCTTGTGTTATGTGGTAAGTATATTATATTGTTATGAGCAGAAAATAGCGCTGCCACGCTGGGGGTTAGAGACGCAGAAGAGGTGGATCCACGGTCCTGAAAGAGTCACCTTTGGCAGTTACCAATCAGTCGATATATTTCTTGTTGATTGAGCCAATAGCACGGCGTAGAATCAAGAGTATGAAACTCTCGGCGTTGATCAATCTCTGAGGGATGTGCCACGAATTCGATTCCATTCGTAACAGCGTAGAAGTGATTGGATGCATATCTGGCCTTCAAAATGGCTCGTGGATGCCTATTGATGCGTCAAGTCAGTGCTGCTATCCTCCTGGACGAGTCTGGCACCAGTTCGTCGACGTTGAGGGACGTAAGACTTTGGCAAAGCCGGAACACGGGATTGAACCATCGACCACATACGTGTTGCTGAGCTCCTTTAACCACTGTGTCACACACGCTCAACACGAAGATAGAAGCAGTCTTATTCGGCTAAGGTTTCGACGTATTCATCATCTTCAGAGCCGACGATTCGAGTCGATTGACCTCACCACAATTGGTCAGCAAAGTTGACAATCGACTCTGATCAATCCGGCTCTGAGGAAGGCGAAGACGTTGAAACCTGCCCGAGTAGCTTCATATTTCTATCTACTTAGTGTCGAGCGCATGTGGCGCAATGGCTAGAGCTGCTCTGCGACACACACAAGTGGTCGATCAGGCGATGGTAGATGGTTCGATCCCGAGTCCAATGCACACCAAGTCTTCCTTCTCTCCCGAGTCAGTGAAGTGGCGCCAGAGTTGTCTGAGAGGATTGCAGCTCTGATTTGATGCATCGGTAGATCATCACCAGCCGTTGTAAAGGCTTAATATGCATCCAATCACGTCTTTGGTGCTACGAATGGTATCGAATTCATAGCTCATTTCTCAGGGATTGATCAACGCCGAGATCTTTATCAGCGATGTATGATCTAACTTCCTTGAATTTTTCCAGGTTTGCGAGATTGAGTCGTCGTTTTTGAACTTATTCCTCCTCACTGCCGAGTGTCGGAGTGTTCTTCTTCTTTCTCGTAACAATGGGTAATTGCCTTCCTGTGTTGTTCCGAATGAGCAGAAATCTGACCGGCCGCGACAACCCGGGACGGTGGGTTCTTCTTTAGAGTCATTTTTATTTCTGAACCCTTTTTTTAGCGTGTTGTATCCATATGGATATATATATATATATATATGCATATAATGTCTGTATGTGCATATATACACAGATATATGTACGTATGCATATATGTATACGTGTATGTATATGTACACATGTATGCATATGTACGCGCATACACGTGCATGTATATGTAAAGCTAAAAATATGCAAGCGTGTGTATACAAACGTGCACATATATACATATATATATATATATATATATAAATACATATGTATACGTATATACGTATGCTACTCGTAAAGTTGAGTGATACATAAGACTCAATCTGGGGCGGGAGTTAAATTATTGTCTAACCCATTGATGTAGAGCGATGTGCAAAACTTTCGCATCAGGAGGGACTAGAACCCGCACCTTTCTCTTTCCAGGAATGCGTGCTCTATCCGTCTCACTACTGACGCCCAATTTACACATAGCTCTTTTCACGCTACAGCGCGTCTATTGTCTACCCTTTCTTGTTGTGCGTGCTAACCACTATGCTACTGAGGCTCGTGTTTTGCTAACACTTTCACCACTCGGGGTTGAGAGTTTTGCATGAAAGTAAACATTTCTGGGTATTTAGCTAGAACCGTAGTACACTTTGACTGCTTCCCTGAAATCAGCAGTGCCTTACCTTTTGCTCGAGCAGGAGCGTTTCACTCTCAAAGCGCGCATCATTTTTGCACTAGAGCAATAAAACAACAAATTTGTTAACCAGAACTAGTTAAAATAGCATGACTTTGGAATCGTTCACTTGCGCATTTTCTTGCGAACATTTTGGTATACAACCTTGCCTATACTTGCTTCAAGGTGAAGCTGACGTGGGAACAAATCCTCTTGCTGCTCTTGCACTAATAGCGCGAAAGGGGAGATACTAGTGAGCAGGCGCGCAAATTAATGAGCTTGGAGCGATATTACGGTTGCAGAAAGGACGATTAGGAACTGGTCTGCGAAGTACAAAACCGACCGGAGAGAACAGTCTGGAGGATCAGTCGCGCTCGGGCCATCCAAAAGAAGCTCCACTAATCTTGCGCGCCGCTTCACCAACATTTTTCCCTACGCGACATTCGTGCATGAGTAGGAAGAGATTTGTTCCCAAGACAGCTCCATCTTATAGCAAGTATAGGGAAGTTGTATAGCAAAATGCTCGCAAGAAAATGTGCAATTGAGCGATATTAAAATCATGTAATTTTAATTACTTTTGGTCAGTAAATTCGGTGTTTATTGCGCCAAAACTCTTGCAGCGAGCCAATATTATTGAAATAATGTGTTCTCCTGAAACTATGCGATGCAGTTTTCTTTCCTTTTCTAGAAATAAGGTCGGAAATATCTCCGCTGGATTTCCCTAGCTGATTATCTGTCAATTTCGTCATAAATTGATTGATTCAGTATTTCTTATTGTTGAGCAGATGCGGGATTGTCAATAGCAGTATCTATTGAATGCCACTGAGAACAGTGAGCGCGTGTGGCGCAGTAGTTAGAGGTTCTTTGTGGCGCTCACATGATGGGTCAATCGATGCTTTATGGTTCAAACCTCCGCCTTGTGCTCACTGAGCCTTCCATCCCTCCGGATTGGTGACCTAATACCGGATTTATGGAGAATAGCAGCACTGGATTGGTACATCGGCAGGCCTCCGCGAATCATTGCGAAGGCCAGATATGCATTTAACCACCTTGAATGGTGCTGCAAATGCAATCCAATGCATGGCGCATACCTCGAGAATTGACAGCTCTGAGAGCTTTATCTTTCAAGCAATTTTAGCTTCTTTTGAGCCATTTAGTTATTTTTAAGTCTTCCAATTATTCTTTGTAGACAAGCCACACAGAGTCTCAAGTGGAATAGGAAATGGACTATCAATACCCTCACATCTGCTTATCAAAGAAAAGTATTGAAACCGATTAGATTTGCCAATTTTGTGGATCATAAACTCTCAAATTCAGGACGACGTCACTCGATTCCACTAACGACGCAACTAGTTTCAGTAATCCAGTAATGCATCTACCTCATAGTGTAAGTTTACATCCTTATAGTGAAATTTTTTGCTTCTTGCAGGACTCCAAGACCTTATAGGCGGTTTATTCTACGCCTATATGTTGACACAACTGTGATCTGAAAAGGCGTGTGTGGCGCATTGGTTGGAGGACCCTTCGATGCATACGTAGTGGATGGTTCGATGTTGCGCCCAGAGCTCAGAAAGCCTTCCCATCTCTCCGGGGGGTTGGCGAGTTGGTACGAGACTTGTTTTGTACCATAACAGCACTGATTTCATACATCGATAGGCCATTGCTCATCATTGTAAAAGCTAGATCTGCATTTAGTCAGCTCTAACGTTCCTACGAATGGAGTCCAATGCATGACGCATCTTTTAGGGATATACAACGCTGGAAGCTATATCTTTATCTTTTTATATCCTACAACGATTCTCAACACAATGCATATCTCAAGAGTGATGAGGTACGAGTAAAACTTCAAAATTCAGAAGGGCTTCGAACCCTCGATTAGCCCTTTCGAGACTTGACGTGTTGTTGTTCACTGCACCACTGAGACCTTTGTTTGCTCTTCTCTCAGTCGTGTTCTAACCCTTTTGGTGCTGTTAGCGATCAAATATCATCGGGATTGATCTAGAGAAATAACGATACTGAACTCAAGTAGGCTGAAGGTGTAGCCGAAATCACAATATTTTGACTGGTCTCGCTGATATCTCAGAATTCTCGTGCTTGTACGTCTCATGTTACTTCCATGAAGAAATTAGCTGTAAGTACACGTTAATATAATGCATATCGTTCTAGTAACTATACGTAACACTGCGGATGTTGAAGATTTGTGAATACGCGGTAATCTGTCCGACTTGCGCGTATCGTTTTGTTTATTTCACTGGACATAGAGTGTAAAACGTTCGTCGTCGCTAACTTTTAGTGTGAGGACTGGAGAACCCACACAGGAATGGCAAAAGACGAGAAAGGGTAATTGCTCGACTGACGCGACCGCAAGATCGAAACACGTGTATCGGGCTCTATAAGTCAGCCCTCATTGACAGACCACTGACATTCGTGGCTCAAAAAATGATTACCAAGCATATGTCGATCTGTTGATCGTCGAGTGAGTCGAACGAGCACCACTGTGACTTCTGTTTTTCCCTATCGCGTGCAAGAGTAATCCAGAAAGCTCTTTTCGCTTTAGGGAACTATGCATCTCGTTTATCAGTTTTGTAGTATGAGCATTTCGTTCCACAATTAGGCTTGTGAAATGAAATACCTTATAGTCTATGGGGAATTCGTGGAAGTGAAGAACTTTTTACGCCGACTTTCACAAATTTCCAAATTCTATCTCCAAGCCAGTATGTGTCACTGATCATCAACGTAATAAATACGAAGTGAACGGCAAAAGCATTACGTAGGAAATGATCGTTAGACCATGAGTTGACTGCGAATGCACGTCGTCTACTTCTTTGTTCGAAAAAGAAACTTCATGAGAGCCACTACGTTGCGTTGAGCATGGTTCTCCTCGTTACTAAGGATTGAGGTCGAAAGTTTTGTCGACCCCAC